CTCCATTTGGTGCTTGGCTGAGTTCTTTATCTCTTCATTTGATGTTTTAGGGTTTCAGGATTGTTGTATTCTCTGTTTGGCTGTTTTTCGGATCTTTGCTGTGGAGGGACAGCGTGGTGCTTCTTCCTAGAGCGCCATTTTGCCGGAACTCCTTAGCAGTGAAATTTTTGAGAAGCAGGAGGCATGGTGGAAAAGACAAACAGACATGGGTTCAAGTCTTGATTCTACCTCTCACCAACTGTATTGCTTGAGCAAACTTTAACTTTTCTGACCTTCTTCTGGGTGCGGGGAAAGTAAAGGCCAGCAGTGTTATGGTCCTTAATGCTGAAAGGGCTGGTAGGTTTGCTGTGGAGATAGGGAGAAGAGAAATGGGTGATTGTGTACTCCTCCCGTGTTGTGGGGCGGGAAGCCCAGCAGTAGAGTGGAGGGTGGCCACTTCTAACAGGAAGGGGATGCAGCTGAAAGCCTAGGGCCTGGCAGGGAAAAGTGGAAGGGAAGTGCCAAAGCGAGTTGGCTCAGCCATCCGCCAGCCCCACTGAGCTGTTCCTCCCTAAGTCTTCCCACCTGAAGCAACTGGCACCTAAACCCTGGGAGTCATTCCTAACTCCTAGCTTTCTCCCACACCCACATCCTGTCCATCAACAAATCCTGCCAATTCTGCCTTCATCGTTTATTGTAAATTTGATCACTTCTCACCCTCTATGAAACTCCCAAGCCTCAGGCCCCATCAACTCTCCCCGAGCAACTACAGGGGCCTCCTAACTGTTCTTGTGTCCACTCTTATCCATCACACTCATTTCTCCACACATCAGTCAAAGACATCTTAAAAAACTTAAGTCACCCCTGCTCAAAACCTTCCAGTAACTTCCCATCACACCTAGAAAGAAGCCCTAATTCTACCATGGTCCAAGAGCCCCTGGCTTCCTCTGCACCCTCATGTCTTACTCCTAGTCTTAAACACTCAGTTGAACCATGCAGGCCTTGTTTCCGTCCTCGGACACACCAAGCTCATTTCTGCCTCAGGGTCTTTTGCAATTGCTGTTCCCTTTGCCTAGAACATCTGCCCACAGATTTTCCCATGGTTCCCTCCCCTCACCGTCATTCAGGATCTGCCAGCATCTTAACTCCCCTGACTACCTCATAGAAAATATTCCCTTCCTGTCCTCTCCCACCCTACCACCCTTCATCACCTGCTTAATTCTTATCTATAGCACTTATTATTCCATGATATTGTTATTCTTTTATTTGTTGATTTGTTTATTATATTCCTCTCAACTATAACACAAGCTCCATGAGGGCTAGAATTTGTCTTGTTCTCTGCTGAACTCTGCAGAGATCTCCAGCACCTAGAACAGTGTGTATACATAGTCAAAAAAACCCAAACCCATTGCTGTCAATTTGATTCTGACTCATAGCGACCCTATAGGACAGAGTAGAACTGCCCCATAGGGTTTCGAAGGCTGTAATCTTTATGGAAGCAGACTGCCACATTTTTCTGCCACAGAGCAGCTGGTGGGTTCGAACCGTTGACCGAACACTTAACCACGGTGCCACCAGGGCTCCATAGACATAGTTGTCACTCAATACACATTTGCTGAATGAATTGTTAACATTTAGGTAAATATCCTTCCAGTCTCTCATCTTTTTTTTTCCTTAACTTATTTATTTCATATAATAATATTTATTTCATGTAAAATATATAATGCCATCTACCCAATTTTCTGGAGCCCTGGTGACATAGTGGTTAAGAGATTAGCTGCTAACCAAATGGTTGACAGTTCGAATCCACCATCTGCTCCTTGGAAACCCTATGGGGCAGTTCTACTCTGTCCTATAGGGTCACATGAGTCAGAATTGACTGGAAGGCAGTGGGTTTTGACCCAATTTTCTATCTTGATTTTTTAAATTTACTGTTTGTTATGGATTGAATTGTGTCCCCCAAAAATGTGTGTCAACTTGGCTAGGCTATGATTCCCAGTATTGTGTGATTGTCCACCAGTTTGTCATCTGATGTGGTTTTCCTATGTGTTGTAAATCCTACCTCTGTGATATTTATGAGGTAGGATTAGAGGCAGTTATGTTAGTGAGGCAGGACTTAATCTACAAGATTAGGCTGTATCTTGAGTCAATCTCTTTTGAGATAAAAGAAAGAAACTAGCAGAAAGACGGGGGACCTCTTACTACCAAGAAAGCAGCGCCAGAAGCAGAGTGCGCCTGTTGGACCTGGGGTCCCTGGGCTGAGAAGCTCCTAGACCAGAGCCGACAGAGAGAGAAAGACTTCCCCTGGAGCTGGCACCCTGAATTGGGACTTCTAACCTCCTAGACTTTGAGAGAATAAATGTCTGTTTGTTAAAGCCATCTACTTCTGGTATTTCTGTTATAGCAGCACTAGATAACTAAGACACTGCTATATCTGAAACATTTTTTAAGTTATCCATTCTCCATAAACATCTTAATAGTGGCATTATTCCTTTGGATAGACAGGTCATCGATAACTTCTCCTAAGACGTTTAGGTCATTCTAACCTTCTGCTATAGTAAGTATCTGTATAGTGAACATCTTAGCACCAACCATTTTCTTAATTTCCTTAGGATGGCATTACTAAAACTGGAGTTACTAGATCACAGGATATGAGTGCCTTTACATTTCTTAATACATGGTATAAAAATGACAGTATCTTTTTTTTTCCTCCTTTTTTCCAACCCAGTCTCACCCTGCCTGCAAGAGCCCTGAGCTGATTGCAAACCACTTTAACATTTACGGGAAGAGCCCTCTGATTGTGTACTTCCTCCATAACTACTCCACTCTACGGCAGCATGGCGAGGACATGTTGATGGTCAGGAGGTCGAAGACCAACAGCATCCCATATCCTTGCCACCTGCACGCGGGGCCCATGCTCCTCCAGGCCCTGCTTCCCCTTCCTAGAAGCCAGGGCCAGGGAGAGGGATCCAGCCCTCAGCATAGCACCTGGCACACAGTGGGTGGCAGTTAAGGGTGGGCATTTATAGGAGTGTAAGGGTCGGAATCTTGTTTATTTTACTTCCAAATCTGCCTCATGAACTGGCTATGGGACCCTGGGCAGGTCGAATTTCTGTAGGTACAAAGTCACTTTTTTCCCATCTTTTAGAATGAGTGCACTAACTAGGCACTCTAACATACTTTGAAACTAAATGCTTCCTAGATACTCAAAATGACCCTAGAGTGAGTATTGATCAGGAATTCTCGTGTCCACATGTATACTTCATGTAACACCCTCTTCACACATACCCCTCCTCCCTGTTGTTGTTATTGACTCAATTCCTATAGGACAGACAGAACTGCCCCACAGGATTTCCTAGGCAGTAATTATTATTTTTAATTATTATTTTATTGTTGTTGTCAAGAATATACACAACAAAACATACACCAATTCAACTGTTTTTACATGTACAATTCAGTGATACTGATTATGTTCTTCGAGTTATGCATCCATTCTCACCTTCCTTTTCTGAGTTGTTCCTCCCCCATTAACATAAACTCACTGCCTCCTATGGTTCCTAGCTAATCTTTTGAGTTACTGTTGTCAGTTTGATCCCATATAGATAGTTCTTAAACGAGCATAATGCTCAAGGAAGACATTTTTGCTAGTTAAGCTAGATTATTTTTGGTGTTAAGAGGATTTCAGGGGATATTTTGGTTTAAGTTTTACAGATTATCTCAGCACCATAGTTTCAGGGGCTCATCCAGCCTCCATGGCTCCAGAAAATCCAGAGTCCATGAGAATTTGGAATTTTGTGCCGCATTTTCCCCCGTATGATCAGGATTCTTCTTTGAAATCTTTGATCAAAATGTTCAGTAATGATATAGGCTGTAATCTTTACAGGGACAGATTGCCAGGTTTTTCCCTGTGGAACTGCTGGTGGGTTCAAACCACAGACCTTTTGGTTAGCAGCCGAACGTTTAACCACTGCGCCACATACCCCTTCTTCATACCTATCAGCAGATTCCTGGTCCTGGTGGCATTTATGCTAAGCATTTAGAAAAAAGCTCAAATCTCAAGAAACAGGTATGGCATGTGTTGGTGTCCTGAGTCTTGGGATAAAATCAGAGACAACTCACGATATAAGCAGGTTACCATAGGGGGCGTTAATATGGGTTTTGGAATCAAATAGACCTGGACTCAGGAACCAGCTCTACCTCTTACCAGCTGAATGATCTTAGATAAGTTCCATCTTCTCTTTGGGCCTCATTTTTTTCATCTGTAAAATGGGGATGACAGTACCTGCCTCATAGGACTGTTATGCAGATCACAAAGACAACAGAGGGAAAGGCCCAGCACAGTGCTTGGCAGATAATGAGTGCTTGAATATTACATGTCTGTAGTTAGCTCCCCATCATGAGGAACGTCCATAATGGACTAGGTAGGACTTTGCATTGCCTGCCCTATAGAGCTTCATACCCACAAACTTAAGACTATAAGCAGAGGATGCTAACAGCTCACATTTCATAGTACTTTATTGTCTGTAAAGTGCTTTCCTGTACATCACCTCATTTGTTCTGTAAAGACAGTGTAGTGTAATGAAAAGAGCCTGATTTGGGGATAGACAGCCCTGGATCTGAATCCCAGCTCAGCAACCCACTGACCTGGAGATCTCATACACACGGCTTAAGCTCAGGGCTCAATATCTTTATCTACTCATTCCTAAAAGGTGATGTAGTGGTTAAGAGCTTGACTGCTAACCACAAGGTTGGCAGTTCAAATCCACCAGCCGGTCCTTGGAAACCCTATGGGGCAGTTCTACTCTGTCCTATACGGTTGCTATGAGTCAGAATCGACTCAACGGCAACGGGTTTTGTATACCAAACTAATAGTGTCGTGACTAGAATTTAGTGGCATACAACTGGTACTAAAATAAAAAGTATCATTATTATTATTAACACCGTAAGGTCAGTATTATTAACCTTATTTTATAGATAAAGGAATAGAGACATTGAGGATGACATATCTTGTCTGAGGTTCCACAACTCCTGACCAGTACAGCTAAGATTCTAACCAAGTCAGGGAGACTTGGGAGATGGGAGGGAGACAGAGAATTTTCCGACATACAAACATGAGATGGGGAAAGAGTCCTTGGGCCTGAAAAGAAAGGGAAGTTGGAACTTCTTCCTATTCAGTACTGTGATAATAGAGAAATTCAGATGACAGCCTAAATAAGTATTTCCTAGCCCTTCCATCAAGGAGCCATGGTGGCACAAACAGTTAAGTGCCTGGCTGCTAACCAAAAGGTTGGTGGTTTGAACCCACCCAGCCACTTTGTGGGAGAAAGACCTGGCAATGTGTTCCTGCAAAGATTACAGCCTAGGAGACCCTATGAGGCAGTCCTGCTCTGTTACATGGATTGCTATGAGTCAAAATTGACTCAATGGCACCCGACAACAACAACAGCCCTTCCATCAGCAGGAGGAGAGAAGGGCTTTATTAAAAGGTGGCGAACAGCCTAGCCAGAGAGGATAACCTCTTTCTTTCCAAAGTAGGCTGTGGTCAAAGAGCAGAAGATGTCATTTCCTGCTCAGATTTCCATCATCATCCGGAAACACGGTCATTTTCCCCACTCCCCTATTCCTCTCTTCCTCCTCCTCACGCACTAATCACATTCCACTAATAAAGCAAAGGGCCAACACCATCAGAGAGTGTAGGGTTTTTCTTGACGATGAAGACCACTGAGTCCACCCCAAAGTATGCTGACATCATCACCCAGGCCCTGAACAACCTGAAGAAGCGAAAGGACAACCTCTGCCGGTTGAACCGGCTTCATTGGAACGAATGGAATTATTTTGATGAGTGCCTAAAGGAGCAGCAAAACCACTTCCTCAGGTATTTAAGGGGCTTTAGGAAGGTGGCATTGTTTCAGCATTTTTTGTAGTACAGCATAGTAATTTTTAATCAGGGGGCGCCTCGCCCCGTAACTATTTTAAGCACAATCGGCTTTCTTGTGGTCAAAATGTAAATTCCACAATATAGAGACCAGATCTTTAAAGGAAATAATAATAATATTTTCTAACTACAAAAACATTACATTGTCAATGAAGGCAAACAAAAAGCTTGGAAACCCATAGAAAAGCACCTAGAGATATACATTGCTAACATTTTTCTGTAAATCCAGTCATTTTCTAGGTATATGTATCTGTATCTCTAAACAACAGTAGTAGACTCATACTGTAATTCTGTTTTGTAGCCTTTTTATTTTCCCACTTAGCAGCGTATTATGGGAATTTTCCTATGCCTAATGCCTTCTTCAATGTTTTTACTTTGTTTGGAAAAATTCCAAGCCTTTCAGAAAAGTTGAAAGGTTAGTACAATAAACACCCACGTGTCCTTCACTGCGTTTACCAAGTATTCCCATTTTGCTGCATTTGCTTTCTCTCTCTGATGTCTAGCCCAAACTCAGATTTCCCCAGTTGTGCCCAAAGTGTCTTTTTTGGATTTATCTTCTGCTGCAAGATCCAGTCAAGGATCAGGAATTGTATTTTGTTGTTATATGTCTGTCATGTCTTTTAATCTGTAACAGTCCCCCAGCCCTTTTTTTTTTTTTTTAATGAGATGGACTTTTTTGGATTGTTGAAGCCACATCCTGGATTTTTCCAATGATTTCCTCAGGGTATCATTTAACTTGTTCCAATATACCCTGTATTTCCTATACATTTGTCTGGGCAGAGCATCCAGAATTCAAAATGCCCTTTGCAGAACCCTGTGAAATGTTTCAACATATTATTCTATTACACAAGCTAAAGATTCTTCTTCTAGTGAAAAATATGAGTCTAAGACATGTATGTAGGCTTTAACATCTCAAGAAATGATAAGACAGAAAATTGTATCAAAGAATTTCCTCCGAGTTTTTCTGTTAGAAAATATGATCATAACCAGGACAAATACAATTTGCTGCTTGTTCTTTGTCTATCCATTGCAAGCAGAAGCAGGCTTCAAAGGGTAAGAAACAGTTGTGACAGAAGATTCTAACAGCAAGAATGTTATATCAATACAATTTTTTCCTTTGAATTGAAAAAAGACTTCCATTGTTGGAATGACCATTGGTGTAGGCCAAATTCAGTGCTAGTGTTTTAATACCAGTCCTCTTGCATCCATCCAATAGTGACCAGAGAAGTATATGATAGCATTTCAAGTTACTTGTTGTTGTTAGGTGTCATCAAGTCAGTTCCAACTCACGGCAACCCTTTGCACAACAGAACAAAACCCTGCCCCCGTCCTGCACCATCCTCAGATCATTTTTGTTTTCTCTATGTTGAGGTATGGTCAATGCTGAAGTCTGTAGTCTTTGATCTTCATCAGTAAGTGCTTCAAGTCTCTTCACTATCAGCAAGCAGGGTTGTGTTATCTTCGTATCACAGGTTGTCAATGAGTCTTCCTCCAATCCTGATGCCCTATTCTTCTTCATATAGTCCAGCTTCTCGGATGATTTGCTCAGCATACAGACTGAATGAGTGTGGTAAAAAGATACAACCCTGACACACACCTTTCTTGATTTTAAACCATGTAGTATTCCCTTGTTCTATTCAAATGACTGCCTCTTTGTCTATGCAGAGGTTCCTCATGAGCACAATTAATTGTTCTGGGATTCCCATTCTTTACAATGTTATCCATAATTTGTTATGATTCACAGTGTAGAATGCCTTTGCATAGTAAATAAAACGCAGGTAAACATCTTTCTGTTATTCTCTGCTTTCAGCCAAGATTCATCTGCCATCAGCAATGATAATAACCCTCATTCCCACCCTCTGCTGAATCCGACTTGAACTTCTGGCAGTTCCCTGTGAATGTACTTCTGCAATCACTTTTGAATGATCTTCAGCAAAATTTTACTTGTGTGTGATATTAATGATACTGTTTGATAATTTCTGCATTCTTTTGGATCACCTTTCTTTGGAATGGGCACAAATATGAATCACTTCCAATCGGTTGGCCAGGAAGCTGTCTTGCAAATTTCTTGACATAGACAAGTGAGGGGTTCCAGTGCTGCATCCATTTGTTGAAACATCTCTGTTGGTATTCTGTCAATTCCTGGAGCCTTGTTGTTTGCCAATGCCTTCAGTGCAGCTTGGATTTTTTCCTTCAGTACTATCAGTTCTTGATCATATGCTACCTCCTGAGATGGTTGAACATTGACCAGTTCTTTTTGGTACAGTGACTCTGTGTATTCCTTCCATCTTCTTTTGATGCTTACTGTGTTGTTCAATATTTTTCCTGTAGAATCCTTCAGTATTGCAACTGGAGGCTTGAATTTTTTTATTCAGTTCTTTCAGCTTGAGAAATGCCAAGCATGTTCTTCCCTTTTGATTTTCTAACTCCAGGTCTTTGCACATTTCATCATGATACTTTACTTTGTCTTCTCAAGCGGCCCTTTGAAATCTTCTGTTCAGCTCTTTTACTTCATCATTTCTTCCTTTCACTGTAACTACTCTACATTCAAGAGCAACTTTCAGAGTCTCTTCTGACATCCATTTTGGTCTTTTCTTTCTTTTTAATGACCTCGTTTTTATTCACGTATGATGTCCTTGATGTCATTCCACAACTTCTCTGGCCTTTGGTCATTAGCGTTCAGTGCTCAAATCTATTCTTGCGATGGTCTCTAAATTCAGGTGGAATATACTCAAGGTCATATTTTGGCTATCATGGACTTACTCTAGTTTTCCTCAGCTTCAGCTTGAACTTGCATATGAGCAGTTGATGGTCTGTTCCAGAGTCAGCCCCTGGCCTTGTTCTGACTGATGATATTGAGCTTTTCCATCTTCTCTTTCCACAGATGTAGTCATCTTGACTTCTTGTTTTCCATCTGTTGAGGTCCTTGTGTATAGTCACCATTTATGTTGTTGAAAAAAGGTATTTGCAATGAAGATGTCGTTGGTCTTGCAAAATTCTATTATGCAATCTCTGGCGTCATTTCTATCACCAGGGTCATAATTTCCAACTACCAATCCTTCTTCTTTGTTTCCAACTTTCATATTCCAATCACCAGTAATTATCAATGCATCTTTATTGCATGTTTGATCAATTTCAGATAGCAGAAGTTGGTAAAAATCTTCAGTTTCTTTATCTTTGTCATTAGTGGTTGGTGCATAAACTTGAATAATAGCCATATTAACTGGTCTTCCTTATAGGCTTATGAATATTATCCCATCACTGACAGTGCTGGACTTCAGGATAGATCTTGAAATGTTCTTTTTGACAATGAATGCGATGCCGTTCCTCTTCAATTTGTCATTCCCAGGATAGTAGACCATATGATTGTCTGATTCAAAATGGCCAATACCAGTCCATTTCAGCTCACTAATGCCTAGGATATCGATCTTTATGCAGTCCATTTCATTTTTGATGACTTCCAATTTTCCTAGATTCATACCCTCCGTGTTCCGATTATTAATGGATTTTTGCAGCTGTTTCTTCTCATTTTGAGTCACACCACCTCAGCAAATGAGGGTCCCGAAAACTTGATCCATCCGCATCATTAAGGTCAACTCTACTTTGAGGAAACAGCTCTTCCCCAGTCATATTTAAGTGCCTTCCAACCTGAGGGGCTTATCTTCTAGCACTATATCAAACAATGGTCCGTTGCTATTCATAAGGTTTTCATTGGCCAGTTTATTCAGAAGTATTCTGCCAGGTCCTTCTTCCTAGTCTGTCTTTGTCTGGAAACTCCACTGAAACCTGTCCACCATGGGTAACCCTGCTGGTATTTGAATACCAGTGGCATAGCTTCCAACATCACAGCAACACGCAAGCCATTACAGTACGACAAACTGACAGACGTTTGGGCAAGTTACTTTAGTATATACTTACTGCTATTTTGTCTACTTTGAATGCTCGTAACCTGCTTCTTTGTGGAGTAAACATCTACTCATGTTTCAAAAGCCAGCTGGTGTATTACCTCCTCTGGAGGTCTTCAACTCTCAACTCAGCGTTCCCATTGTGTATCCTGAGCTCATCAGAACACACTCCACTGTAACCTTCTTCTATAACAACAGCAGCAGCAGCCAACATTTATTGATCATGTACTACATACCAGGCACTTTTATAAGTACTTAAGCTACGGTAACCCAATCCTCACCACAACCCTAGGTTCTGTTATCACCAGGTCAAGTAATTGGCCCAAGGTCGCGTAGCAAGTGGCAGAGCCTGAATTTGAATTCAGCTTGCATTCAAAGCTTGTGGATTCCCTCACCTGTGTCCCTAGTCTGAGTATATATGCCTTGAATTCAGGGACCATGTCTTATTCTTCTCTGTGTTCCCAGGGCTGACATGACACCTGGCACATAGCTGGCGCTCAGCAAGAGCTTGGTGCCTGAGTCACTGCTATGCAATCAGCTCTCTGCTCCGGTTGGTTGCTTTTGACAGATGTAATTAATGAATATGTAAATATTTGCCTCCCTGTACATATTAGGTGGTACAAACGGTTAAGCACTCAACCACTAGCCAAAAGGCTGGAGGTTCAAACGCACCCAGAGGTGCCTTGGAAGACAGTCCTGGCGATCTGCTTCCAAAGGTCACAGCCTTGAAAACCCTATGGAACAGTTCTAGTCTGTACACATGGGGTCGCCATGAGTCGGAATTTACTCAACAGCAACCAACAACAACAACATAGGTAGATGGGAGTGAGGCCTCTGAAGAGATCACACTGACTTTTTATCTTTTTCCATATTGTGTCTTTGTGGTTTCTCCCCAGGGAGGTGAAGAACATCAATCAAAAAGCAGCAGAGAAAAAGAAGGCAAACCATACTTTCATCCCACCTTCGATCTTCAACGAAGAATACCTTGAAAAGAAACCCAGAGGAAGCCAACTGAAAGAGATAAAATTTCTTTCAAGGTTTGTTCAGTCAAAAACCATGGAAAAACTAGAAGTGTGTGCAGTTTAAGAATTCCTGGCACATAAACTGACAACAGTTAATCTAAAGCACAGATGAGAACTTTAAGGGGCAAAGAGCCCAAATTAATGTTGATGAAACATACCAGTAGAGACACTGAGAATGGTGACACAGTGTGAAGTATGTAACCAATGTCATTGAACTATTCATGTAGAAATTGTGAATGGATGTATGTTTTGTTGTGTATATTGCCACCAAAAATAAATATTATTAAAAAAAGAATTCCTAGAATGTAGAAAAAAGCACATAAAAGTTCACTCACAGTCCGATGTCACCAAAAACACACACATTGCCGTCAAGTCACTTCCAACTCATGGCAACCCTATAGGACAGAGTAGAACTGCCCCACAGGGTTTCCACGGAGCACCTGGTGGACTCAAACTGCTGACCTTTTGGTTAGCAGCCATAGCTAACCATAGTTTCCAGTCTGATGTTAGGGAGGTTGTATTTAGGCTACTCCCTTCATTCATACACTCAACTCTCATATTACATTTATTATTATTAATGGTAGTAGCAAGAGTTACCAAAGATTTTCTTCTTTCTCTATACCAAGCATTGGGCTAAGTATGTTATGAACTGCATTATTCAGAGCGCTGTTGTTGCATGTGCTGGGAAGGCAGCTAAAACTTGTTTAGGCAGAAGGAGAACCTAGTGGCTTAAGTAAATGGGAAGGTCACAGAGAGGCTGGCTACAGGCACATTTGGTCCTAGGGGCTCAATGATATTGTCAGATTCTCTTTCTCTCTGTTTCTCTTGACCCTCTTTCACTCTGTGTGCTGGCTTCTTTTTCAAGCTGCCTATACCCTCAGAGAAGGAAAGAGGGCCACAGATAGCCCAAGCCTGTATCCTTATAGTGCATAATCTAAAAATCCTTATAGTACATAACCCCCTCCCAGCCTCCATAAGCCAAACCTCATAGGAGTCTCTGATGGCTCTGCTCACCCTGTCTGGACCAGTCACTTAGTTCAAGAGGAAGGAGTGCTGTGAGTGATTGGCCAGACCTGAGTGGCTACATGGCCAAAGAGAGCAGGGCACAGCCAGTGACATGGGTGAGATGCTATCAGACGACTACAATGTGCTTACTTTATTTTATTTATATCTCAGCAAAGCCCTATTGGATATCATTACCTCATTTTACTAAATAGAGAAGTCAATTAAACATTCACTAACAATCTCCTTTGCCAGGTAGTAGGAATACAAAGAAATGAAGAAGTTGCAGTCCTTGCCTTCAAGGACTCAAAGTCTAGAGGCGGAAAGAGATATGTAAACAGACAACATGCAATAAAGTCTCATAGGTCATAAGAGAGAACTTCAAAAGGGAAAAAAAACCAGTTGCTGTTGAGTCGACTCTGACTCATGGCAACCCCATGTGTGTCAGAGTGGAACTGTGCTACAAAGGATTTTCAATAGCTGATTTTTTAGAAGTACATCAGCAGGCCTTTCTTCCAAGGCCCCCTAGGTGGACTCAAAGCTCCAGCCTTTAAACACTGACCATTTACACCACCCAGGGACTCCTTCAAAAGGGAACAGAGTAGGAAATGGTCTTTTTGTTTACTAGGCAAAGTGAGGTTATTGTTGTTAGGTGCCTTTAAGCCAGTTCCAACTTACAGTTCCGTGTACAACAGGAGGAAACACTGCCCAGACCTGCACCATCCTCACAATTGTTGTTACGCTTGAGCCCATTATTGCAGCCACTGTGTCAATCCATCTCATTGAGGGTCTTCCTCTCCTTTGCTGACCCTCTACTTTACCAAGCATGATGTCCTTCTCCAGGGACTAATCCCTCCTGATCACACGTCCAAAATACGTGAGACGAAGTCTTGCCATCCTTGCTTCCAAGGAGCCTTCTGGCTGTACTTCTTCCAAGACAGATTTATTCGTTCTTGCAGTCAATGGTATATTCAATATTCTTTGCCAACACCATAATTCAAAGGCATCAATTCCTCTTTGGTCTTCCTTATTCATGGTCCAGCTTTCACATGCATATGAGGCAAAGTGGGGAGTCCCTGCCAGTGTTACTGACTGATTTGTAAACTCTTCCTCTCAACACCTATCAATATTCCAGTGACACCTTTGAAATGATACTGAATTTTTGAGCCAGTTTTTTTAAATGTCTTTTTGGTTTTCCCACAGGAAAGAAAAGGAGGAGCGGGAAAAGAAATGTGGGTTGCAGAGCGCTCCCCTCTCACTTTCAAGCCTTGAGGATCCAGAAGATCCCTACGAAGTCTTTGAAGCCACTGCTACCAGGCGGGGTGGAATAACAACAGCAGAAAAATAAAATTATGGCCAAAGACTGGGAAATAGAAATACCTCTTCCTGGAATAGGGAAAAGATTCCATTATAGTTTTTCCTAGTCTGAGTGAAAAGTAAGAGTGGGGAGTTTTGTACTTGGGGCACTACATTTATTTATGCATTTTCTCCTTTATTTACTCATTTTATTTAAAATATTATCAGTAATAATATCAATTTATAATATGATAATAATGATTATCATTTGACTGTTTACTTTGCCCTGAGCATTAAGCTAAGCACATTACAAACATGACCTTACTTAACCTTCATATCAGCTCTGTGAGATAGGGATTGTTGTTGGGTACCATGGGGCTGATTCTGACTCGTAACGACCCCATGTGACAGAGTAGAACTGCCCATAGGGTTTTCTTGGCTGGGTGGGTTTGAACCACCAACCTTTCCATTAGAAGCTGAGTGCTTAACCATTATGCCACCATGGCTCCTGAGCTAGGGATTGTTCACTGCACTTCACACAGTGGCAAACCTAGGTTTAGAGGTTACAAAAGCTCCCTGCAGTAGACCCTGGGGAAATAACAGTGGATAAGACACTGTCTCTGTTCTCAGTGGACTCCCAGCCTGGTAGAGGGAAGGCAGAGGCATCAACAGATGTGCCCCCAGACACCTCTTTCAGAAGTCACTAAGGCCTGGTGACCCCAGACGTTTCAGAAGTTAAAGAAGAGCAGACCTGCTCTTCCCATTGCAGACACTGGAAGGGAAATTAAGGGAAGTGACCTTTGCCCTGTGCTAGCCATATTCCATAGGTTATCCCATCAAATTCTCGTAACAGTCCTGAGAGGTAGGTTTTATTTTCCCTGTTTTTCAAAGGAGGCAGCTGAGGCCCGCTGGAGTTGAGGCCACCGTCTCTCAGGCTCCCCACGGTGTCTCCCACAACGTCCAGAGGATCTTTTAAAAAATCCACATCTCATCATGTTCCCCTTAAAATCTACACTCTCTCCTCACTGCCCTAAGGATCCCAAGGAAAAATCCAAACTCTTAGACGTGAGGCCTTCAGGAAGTGGGCCCTACTCCCCTCTCCTCTGTTGTCTCTGTCCATCATCCCTTCCCACCCACCACTCAAGTGACACTGAGCCCTCTGCAGCAACCTAAGAGGCTGAGCAGAGGCTGAGCTCTCTCTGCCTCCAGGCCTTGCTTGAACAAGCTTCTTCCTCTGCAGGAACTGCTATTATCTCCCACGCCCCAACCCATCCCAACCCTCCTTCCCCTGGCCAACTCCTACTCCTAGAGTCTGTGTGGCGCCAATGTCTCCTCCTCCAGGAAGCTTTCCGTGACACGCACAGAGAAGATCAGAGTTAAATGCTTCCCTTCCAGGCTCTCAGACTTTTTTATAGCATGAAAACTGGCTGAGCCCAAAGCAGTACAAGGAATTGCATTTGGAAAACTCAGGGCTGGGAAGTTTGGGGCAGACCCATCTTGGAGAAAGCAGTCCAGCTGTGGTTTCACAGGTTACAGCTCTAGGGTGGAGGAAGAGCCTGGTTGCCAATGCAGATGAGCTGAAGGGTGAAGGCTCAGGTGGTTTCCTGAGCTCAGAGCCCTGATTCTCCCATGTGGTGGCAGGGCAGCCAGGAGTCATAGTGCTCTTTGCAGAAGCCCATAAGAATAATGCATTAAATTTCTGGCACCCAAATAAAGGACTGTTTACTAGCATAAAACATGCATCTCTGATACAACTGCAGAGTTCGGTATCTTAAAATAACACATCATATGTTAAGGAATCACACCTAGTTTTTTTCTTGATTATAACTTTTACTTAACAGTTTGTTTTTGTCACCTTGAGCAGTGGCACGCGACAGTTTCCCATAGCTAAAACTTATTGAATGCTTGTTTTGGCCAGGCCCTTATTCTGTTCTAAGCACCATACTTGTATCTTTTACTTAATTCTCACAGCGCCCTGTGAGATATGTGATTTTGTCAGCCTCATTTTACAACTGAGGAAATTGAGGCTTGGACGGGTTCCGTGACTGTTGCCCTGGCTTTCACATTTGGTAAGCAGTGGAGACAAGATTTGAGCCCAGCAGTCAGGCTGCAAAGCCTGAACTATCCTTAAGAGAAGGCTATTAGAGGTAAACTTAATATGGAAAAAGTTCTGTCAATTCCTTTTTCCTTTGATCAGGAAAGCAACTGCCAATAGTGGATTGTAGCAGCACGGTTTGAGCCCCTTTGTTGTAGGCTATAGAATCTTCCAGGTGAAGAAAGACTTATCAGTACCATTGTTTCTGTTTTTATACTGAGAAATTTTAATTAACTTCATACAAACTAGGTATTTCAGTAAATCTAATGTTCTAAAATCCCTTTGTAACTTTTATATTATAAATTCATACTGGCTTATAAGTATTATACAATTTCAGAAATTCCTTTGTTCTTACGCTTTTTCAAATGCGTTTTTTCCCGTTTTAATAATTCTCTTTTTTGTTGTTGTTGAGAGTATACACAGCAGAACATACACCAATTCAACAATCTCTACATGTACAATTCAGTGACACTGATGACATTTTTCAAGTTGTGCAACCATTCTCACCCTTCTTTTCCAAATTGTTCCTCCCCCATTAACATAAACTCACTGCCTCCTAAATTTCCTATCTAATTTTCCAGCTAACGTTGTCAATTTGATGCATTATAGACAGGGGCAGATTACCCAATAAGCAAGGTAAGCACAGGCTTTCTTGTGCTTACTTCCTAATCTGTAGTGAACAAGTTCACCTGCTTTTTTTAACCACATCAAAGATGTGGTGAAACTCACGTGAACTTGTTCACTACAGATTAGGAAGTAAGCACAAGGAAGCCCGTACTTACCTTGCTCACTGGATAATCTGCCCCCGTCAGGGACTGTAAATTTAAAAAGAGGCTTTGATTCTGTGAAAGGTGCTGTGGGGTTGGGAGAGAGACAGATGCCAGCCCATACCTAGAAGCAGAATCTTTGATGTGGTGACAAAATGTGGAATTATTCACTGCAGATGATCTGGTAAGCAATGTAAGCACTGTGCTTACCTTGCCTATTGGATAATCCACCCCGATTAGAGATTGTTGTTGTTGTTGTTAGGTGCCATCGAGTCAGTTCTGACTCATAGCGACCCAATGCACAACAGAACAAAACGCTGCCAGTTCTGCGCCCTCCTCACAATCATTGCCTGAGCCCATTGTAGCCACTGTGCCAATCCATCTTGTTGAGGGCAATTAAAATCCATTATGATAATTACTAGGAGTCTTTGGGTGGTGCAAAAAGTTAATGCATTTGGCCGCTAACTAAAAGGTTGGAGGTTCGAGTCCACCCAGAGCTGCCTTAAAAGAAAGGCCTGGTGGTCTACTTCCAAAAAAACCAACCACTGAAAATCCTATGGAGCACAGTTCTACTCTGACACACACAGGGTAGCCATGAGTCAGAACTGACTCAGTGGCAACTGGTTTATGATCATTGCTACCACAGTGAGGGTGCGTGAAATGCCCTGGCAGCTCACAGGAGGCGCACATGTGCCATCCTTGGTGGAGGTGGGTCATGGAAGACTTCTCAGAGGAGGAGACATGTAAGGGGAGTCCTGAAGGAGGAGCAGGAATTAGTGACATTGGGAGTTAATGGAGAGGGGGGAGGAGAAGGGCCTTTCAAGTACAGAAGCAACAGGAAAAAGGCCCAGAAATAGGAGAGGGAATGGCTCCTTAGAAGACCTGCAAATAAAGAGTTGATTGTTGAAACAAATAAACCAAAAAGAGTAGCTGCTGAGACTGCTTATGTCCAACCAAATACCTCATGGGATTTGGTTTATTGGTTTGGAGGTTTAGGGTCGTGGTTTCATGCAACACCCCAGTTAATTGGCCTAAGAATGTGTTTAGTGCTTCTATTCTATCTCCTAATTTCGTTGTGTAAGGTCTAGGATCTTAAAAGCTTGCAAATGGCCATCCAAAGTACAGCAGTTGTTCTCTATTGAGCCTGGAGCAATGAGGAAGAAGGAGAGTCAGGAATAGGAGGAGGAAATGCAATGTGTACCTAATTGCCTCCATGAACAACTCCCTCCTTTGCCATGAGACCAGAACAACTGGATGGTACCCAGCTACCATTACTAAACATTTTGATCAAAGATTCTATAGAAGAATCCTGATCAAAAGGCAAGAAAATGCAGAACAGAATTTCAGTTCTCATAGAGTCCAGACTTTCTGGAGCCATTGAAGCTGAATGAACCCCTGACACTACTGACCTGAGATAATCTTTAAACTTTAAACCAAAAATACCCCCTGAAGTCTTCTTAAAAACCAAACAATAGTTTAGTTTAACTAATAAAGAATGTCTGCGTTAAGCATTGTACTCTTTTAAGATCTATCTTTATGGGATCAAATTGACAGTAGCAACTTCAAAGATTAAATAGGAATCTTAGGGGGCAGTAAGTTTATGTTAATAGGGGAAGAACAACTCAGAAAAGGAGAGAATGGTTGCACAAGTTGAAGAATGTAATCAATGTCACTGAATTGTACCTGTAGAAACTGTTGAATTGGTGTATATTCTGTTGCGTATACTCTCAACAACGATAAAAAATTATTTTTTTAAAAAAAGAGTTGATTGTGGCTGGGGAAGGGGAGAGACTGCTCTGCTTATCACACCATATGGTGCCTTGTACGTGGTAGGTTCTTAATGTGTCCTGGTTTCAGGAGAAGGGTATGCTTTATAACAACAATGATAACAAGAATAATAATAGCTGGTGGCAGTTACCAAGTGAAGTACACTGTGCCAGGAACGCTGCATAAACCACCTCGTTTAACCATCACAGTGACTCTCCTAGGTAGGCATTCTGTTTCCACACCTAAGAAAATAAGTTCAGAGAGGTCAAGTCACACAACTAATAAGTGCATAGTCCTGCATCTATTAAGGAGCAGGGCGGGGATATAAAGCTCAGAATTTTTCTGGTGCCAAAGCTTGAGCTCCTTCCCTGTCACCCTTCCTGTTTTCCTGGGTCATATTTTCCAAGGGGTCACCTAGAGTTA